TGCACCCCATGGGAGACCAGGAGAAGCACCTGGCTCCTGGCTTCGGATCGGTGTGGTGTACCGGCCGCGGCGGCCATTGGAGGGTGAACCAACGGTAAAGGAAGACCTTTCTCTCTGTCTCTCTCTCTCACTGTCCACTCTGTCTGTTAAAAAAAAAAAAAATGACATGGCTGAATGTTGAAGAGATTAAGTAAAGTAAGTCAGCTGCTCAAGAACACAGCCTATATGATTCCACTTACATGCGGTTCCTAGAACAGTCAAACTCAAGGAGACAGAAAGTAGAATGGTGGTTACCAGAAGCTGGGAGAGGAGAGGATGCAGGAAGGAAGTTTCAGTCTGGGAAGATAATAAACGTTCTGGACATAAGTGATAGTGATGATGACTATAACAATATGAATGTACTTAATTCCACTAAACTCTATACTTAAAAATCATAAATTTTATGTTACACATATTTTACCACAATAAAAAAATTACATGCACACACAAAAACCTGTAATGGCTCCCTAGTGGTATCAAGGTAAAGTCTAGAAAATTCCTTAATGTGGCCTACAATGCCCCTTGAGATTTGGTTCCATCCTATCTCTGTTCTTGCCATTACACTCTCCCCCACCAAGGTCTAGCTGTACTGAACTATGCTGGAGGTGGGCTTACAATGCCTCTTAAGTCTCTGCATAAACTGCTCCCACTATCTGTAAGACAACCCCCCTCCTCTTCTCCCCACTTGTGGCGTCTATTCACCTTCAGCCCTGTGTATTCCTTTCTGGTAGTATTATCACAATATTGTAGCTGCCTGTTTGCTTTACTGTTTTCCCTTCTTACAAGCTTTTATCTTGACAAAAAGTCTCAACTTGTTTGGAATCACATGCTACGTGGCACATATAGGTAGTCAGTGGATATTACTGATTATATAAATAGATGAATTTACCAAACAGGAATGTAATTCTTGAAGCACAATGAAGTATGTCATATATACAAGTGCATATATATCATTACATTGCATCTTTAAGTTTCCATGTTTGCAGCAATTAATCCAAACTCTCAATATTCTTGAGATCAAATTCTGAACATGAAAACTTTCCTTCATTCTAGTCTACTTTCTTCCACAACTTTTCTTGATTGACACTATGATCTTCAAAAAAATCATAAAAAATGCACACTATGAAAAAATGATGCATAGATTTCAAATTTTTACACCAAAACAAACATCTTTTAACTTTTTTCCTTGAAGTTTTTGAAGTACCCGTGTATAAAAATTTTTATCAGCCGTTTCAAATTAAATAATGAAAAGTGTTTTTATTTCTCCCATAACTTAAAAAATGTGAACATCTGTAATTCAGCCACAGCCTTTACTTCCTTGGGTCTCATTTCCCTTTCAAACAACATATTCTCGTTCCAGAAGGCAGCTTTAGCCTCTCATCATCCAAGGACACATCCCACAGGGAAAAGTATGTGAACCAGGGTTTACACACACACTAGGAAGTAAGTTCACCATGACTGCTCAGGTTCCAGTGCCGACAATGTACAGGCACGCCTATTGGTTTGTTTTTAATGCCATCCTATTAAAGCAGACACAGAGTTCTCATTCCTTTCGAGTTGGGTCACTGAGAAATACTTAGTAAAAATCCTGAAAATCTTGGCACAACGTGCCATACTGAAAGAACTAGTAATTTGCTCACGTTTCATCCTTTTTGACTTTTACAACGAGAAATCAACTTCAAAATGCAGGACTCTGAGTCTTCTCTTGTACTCTGCAACCATGTAATTCATGACTCAAAAACACCAATAATTATGATTATATAAGCTTTTTTATAATTTTTAAAAATATTTTATTTATTTGAGAGATAGAGTTACAGACAGTGAGAGGGAGAGACAGAGAGAAAGGTCTTCCTTCACTCCCCAAATGGCGTCAACGGCCGGAGCTGTGCTGATCCGAAGCCAGGAGCTTCTTCCGGGTCCCCCACACGGGTGCAGGGGCCCAAAGACTTGGGCCATCTTCCACTGCTTTCCCAGGCCATAGCAGAGAGCTGGACTGGAAGAGGAGCAGCCGGGACTAGATCCGGCATCCATATGGGATGCTGGCGCTTCAGGCCAGGGCTTTAACCAACTGTGCCACAGCACCGGCCCCATATCTAAGCTTTTCTTTTTTTTTGCCAGACAGAGTTAGACAGTGAGAGAGAGAGACAGAAAGAAAGGTCTTCCTTTTTTCGTTGGTTCACTCCCCAGACGGCCGCTACTGCCGGCATTACACCGATCTGAAGCCAGGAGCTAGGTGCTTCCTCCTGGTCTCCCATGTGGGTGCAGGTGCCAAACACTTGGGCCATCCTCTGCTGCCCTCCCAGGCCACAGCAGAGAGCTGGACTGGAAGAGGACCAGCCAGGACTAGTACCTGGCACCCCAACTGGGACTAGAACCCGGGGTGCCAGTGCTGCAGGTGGATGATTAGCCTAGTGAGCCACGGCGCCGGCCCACATATAAGCTTTTTTTTTTTTTTTTTTGACAGGCAGAGTGGGCAGTGAGAGAGAGAGAGACAGAGAGAAAGGTCTTCCTTTTCCATTGGTTCACTCCCCAGTTGGCCACAATGGATCTGAAGGCAGGAGCCAAGTGCTTTTCCTGGTCTCCCATGGGGTGCAGGGCCCAAGCACTTGGGCCATCCTCCACTGCACTCCCAGGCCATAGCAGAGAGCTGGCCTGGAAGAGGAGCAACCGGGACAGAATCCGGTGCCCGACCGGGACTAGAACCCGGTGTGCCGGCACCGCAGGCGGAGGATTAGCCTAGTGAGCCGCGGCGCTGGCCATATATAGCTTTCACAATCAACTATTTCCACACTTTAATTCAGGATGCAGCTCAATGTTGTCAGGGAAATCTTGTAAGAATGACTCTGCTGAACTCAGGGAACTTATCAGAATTCTATGACTCGGCGGCTCTCGAGTCCAACCTGGCAAATGTATTCAGAAACTACAGAAAGCCTGCAGAGGATCCCTCTCTCTCCTCCTATCTTCTCTTTTCCCTTTTTACCATCTTTTTCTTCTTCTCTTAAAAGAGTAAAATCATATTACCTTTACAATGTTCCAAACCTGCTAAAATTAAAAAATGTTTATCACTTAATCTCTTTCTGGATCTGACTCTAATCTAAAGTATATTTGGTAAGGGTGTATAATGGATTACTACTCAGCAATAAAACAAAAGTTCCACAACAGTGAGATGAGTCTCAATAACATTATGCTAAGCCCAAACTGCCAGACACAAGAGAGCTCAGATTATGTGATCCCATTTACAGGAAGTTCCAGGAGCAAGTAAAACAAATGTACAGCAATAAAACTCAGCACAGTGACTGCTTCTGGTGACAGACATGGAAAGACTGAGAGGAGGCATGAGGGAACTTTCTGTAGGATAGAAATGGCCAGGGGCCGGCGCTGTGACGCAGTGAGTAAAGCCACCACCTGCAGTGGCAGCATCTCATATGGTCACTGGTTTGAGTCCCGGCTGCTCCATTTCTGATCCAATTCTTGGCTATGGCCTGAGAAACCAATATTGGATGGCTCAGGTCCTTGGGCCCCTGCACCCATGTAGGAGACCTGGAAGAAGCTCCTGGCTCCTGGCTTCGGATTGGCACAGCTCTGGCTGTTGCAGCCAACTGGGGAATGAACCATTGGATGGCAGACCTCTCTCTCTCTCTCTATCTCTCTCTGTCTCTCCTTCTTTGTGTAACTCTGACTTTCAAATAAATAAATAAATCTTTTTTTTTAAAGAAATGTCCATCAGATTGAGATATGGGCTACATTACTTGTACACATGGCAGTCAAAGCTGATTTAATGGTATACTTCAGATCTCTACATATCCCTGCTTGTAAATTCACCGTAATTTTAAAGAGGATGCTTTCTAATTTATATTTTTTAAAATTTATCACCTAAACATGTACATCAATGCATAAAAATATATTACCAATGCTTACCCACAGCAGGTGCAACTTAAACAACTGTGGGAAAATCAGCTATGACTTTACATGTGAAAGAAGGCAGGGATAAGGGCTGGCAGTGATGAAGACTGTTCCAGCACTTTTCAATCTACCAGATGTAAAACTGCTTTACAAAACTATTTGTTTGGCTGGTGCCACGGCTCACTAGGCTAATCCTCAACCTGCGGCACCGGCACGCCGGGTTCTAGTCCTGGTCGGGGCGCCGGATTCTGTCCCGGATGCTCCTCTTCCAGGCCAGCTCTCTGCTATGGCCAGGGAGTGCAGTGGAGGATGGCCCAGGTCCTTGGGCCCTGCACCCGCATGGGAGACCAGGAGGAACCACCTGGCTCCTGGCTTTGGATCAGCACAGCGCGCCGGCCATAGCGACCATTTCGGGGGTGAACCTACAGAAGGAAGACCTTTCTCTCTGTCTCTCTCTCTCTCACTGTCTAACTCTGCCTGTCAAAAAAATAATAATAAATATTTGTTAGTGTCCTGTGCTACACAAATTTGGAGCTATCATCTGCTATAAGAATTGGTGCTTTCATCTGATCTCAACATTACCAGAGTCATCCCAACCACATGAACAGAAATGGAGCACAGTCACTCAGAAGCATAAAGAAGCAGCTGGTTTTACACTTCTTTTTCATGAAGGCTGACCACAATTGATACTAGCAAATAAAGGACTTCTGTTTAAGTGGCCTCATCACAAATACATTTTCCATAGTGTAATAACTAAAACAAATAACAATAAAACTTTTTATTGAACTTTATAACTTAAGCTCTGTCAGGGAATTCCAACCAGTTTGTAGAAAGGAAAAGAGAAGGGAGAATTTAACTAAGAAGTCAATGGATAAAACAGAGATATTATTGCATTTGCATCTTTGTAAGCTACACTCAGCTCATAAAATGTGCATGTTCAATGGCTGCCTTTCCCTGACGTATTTTGCTCCCTTCCTTTTGGGGAATAAATGCAAGCAGTCATGTTCCTGTGGAATTAGTCAAATGTGAAAGGGCAGCAAGATGTTCTCAGCACTCACCTGATGTTGGCTACGTGCTGCTGCACAGGCTGATGCTGAAAATGGTCAGGCCACGGATGATGCAGGCAGAAGGATGGCGAGGGCTGAAGGCAGCACGCAGCCTGATACACAGGTGAATGGTTGGGACACAGAGATGCAGAATACTCTGAGTGTGGCTGCATGCAACATGAGGCCAAAGCAGAGGGCGCTGCAGGGCCAGCCTCGGGATGGCGCTCTTGGTGACTGCTATGGCTACTCAAAGGATGATGGTATGGGCAAGGATGGCAGCACTGAGATAACATCTGAGGCGTTCTTTGGTTGTCTAAAGGCAGAAAGGACGATTTAACTGTGCCATTATGTTGCAGGCATCCATTTGGACTCACTTTTGTTCTTGTTGCTTCTTTGGGTGTGAGCTGCTGGGCTGCAAGGTCTCCCTCACAGGGGGTGAGGGGACGAGGGCTGGTAGCACTGGTTGCGATGCTGCCATTGCTCAGAACCACAAAATCGTTTCCGCTGCTCATAGCCATGCTTCAATTTCTTGACTCTAAAAAAGAAAATGATATATAAATTCAGCCAGTTATAATCAGGTGGGCAAATACATCAGAAAGACAAGTAAGATATTTAAAAGTAGCTGTTGGAAAGTAAGTTCTTGCAGGAGTTGGGGGGGGGGGTGGTGGAAACCCAACAGCATCTGCAACAGAACCTGCCAGCCCATTCATATACCTCCTTCTCCACCAGCTACCTTGTGCGCCTTGAGAACCCTCTCCTGTCCCCACTGGTCACTTTCCCCCACCTCACTTTCTTTCCAGCACCTTTCTTCTCTCCCTATCCTACAAACTAAATATTGTTTAACAACTAGAACTTTATGGGGATGCCAGAGGAGAGGATACCAGCACTGTCTCTGGCTTTCAACAAAGGCATACTTGGGTGTTCTGATCTAGGAGTGACGGACAAAATGACAGACCCAGGTTGAGGGCATTTAGTTGCACAGGTTAAATAATTCAAATAATCTAAAGAATGCTTTAGGTCTTAGAAAAATCTCAAAAACATGACTATTACTCTAAGTCACTAAGTCCCAGAATAAGAATAAACAAAAGAAAATAAAAAAAGTCAGCTTAATAGTAGTCTAGTAACCAAAATACCTGACACAAAAGCTTTATCCTCTAAATCAATCAATATAATGCTAAAAAATAATTAACAAGCATGAATGAGTTATCCATGAATTTCTAGTTTTCTTTATTATATACAACAGGTAATATTGCTTGTAGATGAGAATAATGCTGTGGATGAGATCTGCTTTAAATGAGAATTCTTTTCCTTGTTTCTTTTCCTTCCAACAAAGAATCCAGGCCTTTAATACAAAGGAAAACAATTACCTGCTCAAAGTACCAGTGAAATGTTTGTCCAGTCCGTTTAAAAAAAAAATAAAGCAGAAAAAGCTCTTCCCTTGCCTAACTCACCAACCTCTGAACAACACACACGCAAAATCTGGGATTTTTATAGTAAGAATAATAGGTCATCAAAGGCCATTGGTCTATTCGAACTATACATGAGAGCCAAGAAGAAGAAAAACATAATTTGGTTCACCAACCGTTCTGAAAGGGCACTATTATAAGCAAGCACACAGCTTTTGGAGAGATCTTTCTCCAGTCTTTTCCCACCTCTTTTCCAGGGGATACACAGGCAACCAAAAAGAATCAATTCCTTTCAGTCTCAGTACATGGTAATCTGGTCACCAAAGCTGGATCAACCCTGAGGAAGATTCCTATGCACATTTTTATCCAATATGTAAGCTCCTCAAAAGGGGCATTTCTGGGACAGCTGTTGTGCCACAGCAGATTAAGCTGCCAGCTGGGATGTACACATCCCACTTTAGAGTGCCGGTTTGAGTCCTGGCTACTCCACTTCCAATCCACCTTTCTGCTAATGCACCTGGGAAGGCAGCAAATGATGGCTCAAGTAGTTGGGTCCCTGCCACTCACATGGGAAACCCAAGTGGAGTTCCTGGCTCCTGGAGTCAGCCTGACCCAGCTCTGGCTATTGTGGGCATCTGGGAAATGAACTAGCAGTTGGAAGTTCTCTGTCTCTCTAACTTGCAAATGAATTGAAAACACATAAAATTTTTTAAAAAAGGAAGCAGCTCATTGGACAAACCTACCATGCAGAGAAATCACTGGACGCACATGCCCTCTCCAATCCACCCGCAACCAGTTCTCTCCACACCTCAGCCAGGCTTTCCCAACTGATAGGAGCTGCTGGCCTCAACAGAAAAATCAGTAACTCCTTATGCGTTTTCCAAGAAGAAGAGAGAAGGAAGGAATACTTCTAGAGTTTTTTTTTATCATTCTAGGTTAGTTAACAGATCATCTCAGATTGTTTTACATTTAATTCAGTCAACCCCACTGACTCTGACCTAGATGTCAGGTGAGTTACTTTAGTGAGAATCATCTCACAATAACCCAGTCTTCAAGCTTTTAAAGTGAAGTTGGGCTTAGAGTAGAGTGCACCCTTCAAACTACCCTGAATCACCCCACACTCCACACATTTCATGTGTTTCCCTATCTTCTAATAAAATCTGATCATTCTTAGGAAAGACAGCTTTTCTTTTTTCTTTGTAATCAGAACCATAACTATCATTACCTTTTATTGCAAATGAATGATTTTGTAGTTACAGAAGAGTTAAATATATTCTTTGCAGGCCAGCAAGGGACCTAATCACCATTTATAACATTTTCCCCCCATTGCAGTGAAATGCAGTTGAAGTGCCAAAGAACTGACTTACAAATGAATTTTTGGAACACAACCTGTTTTGTAACTTGGAGACTTCTTGTAATGAAGTAGGAACTAGTGGATAGTAAAGAATAATTTGAACTCTGACTTTGGCTTGTAGTTAAAGCAAATCACATGAGCTTTCTCTGATTCAGTTTCTTTAATTATAAACTGAGAACAATCTATCTGACTTCATGAGTAAGTAAAAAACACAAGTTAAAATTAATAAAAAGCAAAACCAGAAAAAACATTTAAAGAAATGTCTATGGATTATTTGCTTCAATTGATATATAAGTGTACCTTAAAAATGTATGGAAAAATGAATTACAAGATAATTTTGTTTTGGTGCAAAAACTTTTTGAAATCCAAGCATAGTGTTTTCATAATATGCATTTTCCATGAACTTTTGAAAGCACTCCTATATTCATGTAGGGGGGCTGAGGTGACCAGGAGAGTGGTGAAGTTTCAGTCTGAAGTCAGGACTTTGCCCGAAGGCTCATACAGAGAATACATTTTTCTTCTTCAGAACTGAAAAATATTAGGGAAAAAAAAATCAGTCTGAGTCTATGATGGAGAGAACAGGAATAAATATAGATAGAGCAAGACTAAAGATACTAACAAGGAATGAAATAAATGAAATAAAGAGTTCCCGAAAGAATATGTAAATATCCTTTACTTGTCCCAAACTATTGTGATAAATGTAATATTATGTGATTCTAATTGCAGTATTGACAGTATTTATGGTAGAAGTTTAAAGTAAGTTTTTGGTCTAACATAATGAATAACTTTAAAAGTTAGCTCTGTTGAAATCACCTGTTCTCCCCAGGGCCATAACACACAGGGGATTCCAAAAAAAGCTATTCCTGGGGCACTGGCTGAGGTGTGCCAGGCCCCACATCAGATATTTTAGTATACTTCCTGCTGTTTGTGAATTTAATATGGTAGCATCAATATATTCAAATCCCCTTGTTTCATGCCCCCTATTTCACCTTTCCAACTAACATGTTTATATCCTGAGTGATTTAGCACTTGGGAGCTATAAGGTCTTTGGCCAAGGACCATCTTTTGATTATATTTTAACTGAGGATAAGAAGATAAAAAGATATGGAATTTTCCTGGTTTTAAAACCAAAATTTTGCTTTAAATTGACAACTGAGACATCTGTAGCGTGGGTGGGTCTGAGTTTGAGAGTGGACTCTACTAGCTACTAACTTTGAGAATCTGGGTCAAGTTACTTAAACTCTCACTGTCTCTAAGTCTTCGTTTCTTCTTAAATTCATTGAATTGCAAATTGGTACAACCTTCTAATAGAGTAACAGGACACTACTTACTAAATTTTAAAATGTCTTTATCTTTTAATCCACAATTCTAGAAATTTACCCTTTCAATACACTTAAATAATGTGTAAAAATATATGTATGGGGGCCAGTGCTGTGGTGTAGCGGGTGAAGCAGCCGCCTGCAGTGCCATCATCCAATATGTACGCTGGTTCAAGTCCCAGCTGCCTCACTTCCGATCCAGCTCTTTGCTATGACCTGGGAAAGCAGTAGAAGATGGCCCAAGTCCTTGTGCCCCTGCCCCTGGGAGACCTAGAAGAAGCTCCTGGCTCCTGGCTTCAGATCGGCGCAGCTCTGGCTGTTGTGGCCAATTGGGGAGTGAACCAGTGGATAAAAGACCTCTCTCTCTCTCTCTCTCTCTCTGCCTCTCCTTTTCTCTCTGTGTAACTTTGACTTTCAAATAAATAAATCTTTCAAAAATATATGTATGCATTAGTATGTTGATTGCAGCAATGCTTATAACAGTAAAAACTAGAAACAATTTAAATTATCATCAATAGGGGACTTAAATTCTGTCATATCCATTCTTGAGTATTCTGCACAATAAAAAACAAGTAAGTTAGATCTGGATGTATTACTATGGAAAGAAGTCCAAAGAACATCATTGTGTGTAAGTAAAACTCAGCTCCAGAACAACTGCTACGGTATAAATTCGTTTGTGTGTGTGCAAACACGTATAAGTGTTTGCAGTTATAGTTAGAAATACGTGGATCATTTCTAGGATACAAGAAAATATTAACAATGTTTCCTAGAGGAGAGCTAGACTGGGTCATCTGGAAGAGTGGGAAGACTTTCACATTTTCCTTTCTGTGCTGCTTGCAGTATTCACTATGTCTCTTTTTATAGTAATGAAATGTTAATGAAGGAGGCCGACAGGTTAAGCTACTGCCTGTGACACCAGCATCCCATATAGGTGCCAGTTCAAGTCTCAGCAGCTCCACTTCTGATCCTGGGAAAGCAGCAGAGGACGGCTCAAGTGCTTGGGCCCCTGCACCCTATGTATTAGAGACCTGGAAGAAGCTCCTGGCTTAGGCCCAGCCCAGCCTCAGCCATTGCACCATTTGGGGGAATGAGTCAGCAGATGGAAAATCTCTCTAACTTTGCCTTTCAAATAAAATAAATAATTAAACTACTAATGAAGCACAACGAACAACAATGAACAAAAGATAATCATTACTAAATGCAAAAAGTGGGACAAAACTATTTTATCTTAAAGGATAATTAGACATTCACCGGATATATATATATATTTTTTAAAGATTTTTATTTATTTATTTATTTATTTGAGAGATAGAGTTACAGACAGTGAGAGGAAGAGACAGAGAGAAAGGTCTTCCTTCTATTGGTTCACTCTCCAAATGGCCACAACAGCCAGAACTGCACCGATCTGAAGCCAGGAGCCAGAATCCTCTTCCCAGGTCTCCCATGCGGGTGCAGG